TGCCTCTTCAAAAAGCATTGTAGACATTCTAGTATTTTTGCTTAGCAGATTAAAAAAAAACAAACAACTGGTTCAGAAAAGCCATGAGTGAACTGCCTTTTAGGTTTTTAAACTGTATTTATAGTAGAGGAGGTAAATTGCCAAAATTAAACCATGATAACATGACAAAAACCCATGGAGATGATGAGGCAGAAATTCCTAGACATCGTCTCTTACAACTCCACTTTCAAGCCATGAACTCATTCCCACCAGCTTGGGATGTATTTCTGAGACTAGAAAACATCTTCATGAGGTATCATTGGTTATTTTTAATAAAATCCTTGGAAATTTTAACAATTGAGATTCAAATGGTTTATTATTAAGCCTAGTTATTTTAAGGTGCACTTTTATGATTAAAAACCATATGGGAGAGCATTTAAAGAAAGAAAATTAGTGCTCAGTTTGTGGGCTGGTCTATACCCCAGCAAGGCCTTTCTGACCACCAGCCTGGTACGTGGGCATTGATCCATTTTCCAGGCTTATGGAACCTTTTAAAGCAATATCCATTTCTGTTCTGCAGCCCAACATTTCTGTTCTGCAGCCCAACATTTCAAGAAGTGAAAAGAAATCCATGGAGGTTAAGAAATAATTACAAATCAACTATTAGAATTACAAATATTTTTACCCTGTGCTGTTGCTTAGTGGATTGAAAATTGAGCCCACTTGGACGAATTAAATGAAATGTGGAAAGAAGAATGTTGGGAAGTGATTAGCTGATCCCTCTGTCCTGGAAGTCTGGTTAGTCACTGCTAGGAAATTCATAGCACCCCTAAAGCCAAGTAACCAAACACTGGATTCACAGGATGTCTTCCTAGAGCCTGCACAGCTACTTTGAAAAAAATCCAGCTGTACAGTAAGCATGAAAATGCTCTTAAACTGGCATTAAAAATATCCCTGAATGTGTTAAATAAAATCTTCTATCAAATGCATTCTTTTAGGAGTGGGACAGAACTGAGCAAGGACATGTCAGGCAGAACTAGGTAATTTCTGGAATTCTGGCTCTGTGATCCCTCTCTTGAAAGAGAGACAACAGAAGCAGTTTAATTCCAGGAAAGGAGGCAAAGCAAATGTTTCTCCTTTGAGCAAGCAAAGAGAAGAGGGAAGCTGTGATCATTCCCTGCTCTGCCTGGGCTGCAGGACAGCTCCAAGCTGTCTCCTGTGCAGGGCAGGCAGTGGAATTACAGCCAGCATAGTCCAGTGGGCTGCTCACTGCCCTACCAGCTATGTTTAGTGGTGGGTATTTTCAGCAGCAGGATTTTGCCTTGTAATCCACGTCACACAGCACCTGACTGGCAGATGTCTGGGTACACAGAGAGGCTGGGGGGAATCAGTACTTTGGGAGTGCTGGAGTTTTTTTGGATGTGACTATTTTGATAATATTTTCTTTATTCCAAGAGTGAACTACACCCACAGTTCTGGATGAATAAAAAGCCAGACCTTGCATAAAAACAATCAGTTTTCTAAAGTTGTTGAAATGGCAAGATCTTCAGAAATCTGTCAGTTCATTAATATATAAGAAACCTATGCCAGCTTGCCCTGAAATAATTTAGTAGATAAAATCTCATTTTGCTGATAACTAAATGAGTTTTAGAATATTCAGGGTTTTTTTTTTTTAATCTTGTTTACATTTACAATTCCTCATAACTGTTTATGTCCATTTTATGACTAAAAAAGCATGTCCAAAATCTGTCCCTGGCTGAATTCCTCTGAATAGTTCACTCATTCAGAGCAGCATTGGCTTAGTGCGTTGGTTCAGTGACCAGCGTGATTTTTGAATCAATGTAACACAGGAGAGGGTTTACATTACTGCTGCCACAAAATGTAATCAACTGCCTAGCATACTTGTCTGAAGAATTATTAAAGCATAGAATGCAAAGTGGCAGAAATAGAAGTATAATTCTAGTAAAATCATCAAAGGATGCAATAACCGAGTTAGAAAATGCAGTGACAGATCTAATTAACAAACTAAATTACAATTCAGTCCAAAAATAATTGTCATTAGAAGTAAAATCACATTTCTGTCTGAAGTGTCTCAGCATGTTTGCCATAGTGATTGCTAAAACTAGAAAGAAACCCACTCTCATTATTTTTTTAATGCAATTATTACACACAAAAAATCAGTCATGAAATCGAATATGCCAGTTTAGCAAACGATTCTCAGCTAAGAGCCTTCCCTCTCACACCACAAGGTACGGATTTAGGCTGGCATTGCTGGCTTCCAGCACTTTGTTTTTGTGCTCATGTTGGAGTCAACATTATTTTTGGACTGACTCCTTCCTCCCCAAGACCTCTTTGTATTCTGATTTAAAACAACAGATCGTTTAATTTTAATATTGACCTAATTGCACATCTGAATCCATTGGAAGCTGTCTAACAAAGCAAAAATACTAATAGGACATGTGCCAAGTGCAGTTTAAGTTGGGTTGTTTTTAATATAAGCTGAAGAGCTTTTGTATTAAGCTCTAACAATGGCTAATACAGCTGCTGAGCTGATTACTTAAGCAACTTCTGGGTATATTCACACGTCAAATTTGAATTCCAAGTATTTTGCATACTGTTTCCACCTATATAATTGTCCACTGGCCCTTATCATTATTTATTATGCAAAACTGATTTTTTTTTTTTGAAGCGTGAAGAATGAAGTAATTTAGTATGCAAACAGTTAAAACTCTCATGTGGATTCTGATTTCGTATGTGTTGATAAATTCACTTACGATGACTGACAGTGTGAGATTTTTTGGGGTCATATCGGTCACTCTTTCCATGACACTGATGAAAATGATAAACTAAATGCCAGAAGTGTCCCTGGCGCATCATAGGATGAAATGTGTAAAATGTCAGTGTCTAGCCTGTGTCTATTAATAACTAAATATGATTGTGTGTAATGAGCAGAGATTTTCATGTTGATTGAAGTATGATTTCTTTTGATCTTCCAGATGTTGCTGCTTAGAAATTCATATTGCTCTTTTGCTGCTAAATGCATAATGACCTTTTAAAACCTTTTAACTGTTAAAACCCCTATTATTTTCAACAACATAGTCAAGTTTCCATCTTTTTTTTTAAATGTTGATTGGAAGTTTCTTTCTCTTCCCATCCTCACCTTCCCTTTTGCTTTCTCTTTCTCTCTCTTTTTTAAACCCTTCTTTTCCTCTAATACATTTCTCCAGCAAAATTCCTGACATCACACAGACTCCTGTGCTCAGAGGGGCAGGCAGCATAAGAGGGCAGGACCCTGTTGTCACTTGTGTCACTTCTACCCCCTAAATGTCCCAGGCTGTTACCCAGCATTGCTGGAAAATTTGTCCTGAGCAACCATTTCAGGCAAACACCCAGGTGTCCTCATTCCTGAGGTAGAAAAGGAACAAAGGCAGGTGTCAGAAATGAAGAATCGTGTAGCTGACGTTGATAGTGGAGTGATCTGCTCTGAAGAAAGGAATTGTGGAGCATTGTAAGCTTTCTGCATGAATAATGCATTTGTGTCGCTCATTTTTGGGCTTAGTCACACCCTGCCTTCCACATTTGGCCCCTTTATGGTTGCACCTGTGCATGAATGGTGACTGCCTGAGAGCCTGCAAGAATAAAACCAGTCCCTGAGTAAAGGCAGCAGCAGCAGCAGCAGCAGTGTAAACATCTCTTCATTATTCAGCTTTTGTGCCAATCCCACGTTGGCACAAGGCTGTCTCTGGCCTGTGTGACTCAGCCATGTGAATGCAGGAGCTGTTCTGCACCCTGAAGGTGTTTCAGGCACTTGACTGATTCGGTCAGCAAAGAAAGGAATCTCTGCTCCTTGCACTTCTGCCAGTATGAATTTAGGATGCTTCAAGGGCTCTGAAGGGGCCTCACAGTGCCCAGGTTTCCTGCTCATCACTGCACCACTCCAGCACTGTTCACACCAAAAGGGCCTTGGGACACTGCCCAGGCAAAACTCCCATTTCAAGCAGGGCCAGCACTGGCTTGAGACCTATTTCACCCAACCCATTTCAAGTATTTAGGAGAGGTCTGGAAGGAGAGCTGCATCTGGCTTGTTATGTTTGGAAAGGTGAATACTTATCAAGGGTCAAATCCTCTTTATAGCCTCACTCTGGGCAAATGCAGTGTCTTTGAGCAGGACTCCTATAAATCAACGTGAGGATAAATCTACTTGAAACAGTTTCACCAATTCACTGTAAAATGACTGTTCTATCTAAATACTTCCCAACCTTCCTTTGGGCCCACTAGGAGTTGGTTCAGCTCTTCTCATTACCTGGATGCTGGCACAGGGCCATGCCTCAGGTGTTTTGTGTCCTCTGAAATGGGGAGGTGGCTCATGGATCTATTTAAGCTGTTGTGTAACAGCAGGAAAATGTGCCACCTCTGCTTGGGCAGTACATAGGTGGAAGAGGCAAGAAAGCAAAGTAAAGCATCTAGCAAAAGAAATCCCGCTTCACCAAGATTTTTACACCTTGTTCCTAGAAATATTCAACATAGAAAACAAATTATTTTGGTTTGAATTACAGGTTCTGTGGCAAATATGATGCACAGAGCCAAAGCCAGGAAGATCTGGATCCTTGGAGGCCCAGACCAAGTCTACCATGACAGGTAAAGAGAGTCTGTAGGAGATGATTATTTAGTGATTAAAAATGCTGTCTGTCATATGGTATCTTTGCAATGTCATTGTGAAAATAGATGCATTTTTACTGGTGTCCCTGTGGTTTTGTTTGTCCCTAATGCAATAGTGACAGTCCTGGGGCCCTATTGCTCTCAGCTACCTCTGGTTCCTGTGCAATGTACTGTGTCCTTCATTATGTATTCTGGTCCCATCTGGTCTGACAAGCCTTCTCCATCCTCAGAAGCGATTACAAATAATAATGATGACAAAACCCAAAGAATTTTTGCTTTATTTTGAAAATGATTGTTTTGTGTTGCATGGTGGTGCTTCCTGCCTCTCTCTGGGGTCGCCTGGCAACCATTTGCAAGGCTCCTGCCATCAGCTCCATATCGAGCAAGGGCATCTGGAAGCTCATTGGGGATGGAAACTGCTCCCTTTCACCACCCCTGCTGGCCCTCTGTGGGCAGAGGTGAGGTTACTGGGCATGCAGTGGATTCATGACCATCACTCTGATAGAGGCTATTTAAGCACATTGTAGCAGCTTCATTTGAGTGTTGCCAAAATATTAAAAGAAAAGCTGGTGATAATACAGTATCAACCACCAACACTGCATAATTAAGCATGCATTATTTGCAGTTGATGTTTGTCTGTTTAATAGAATTAAGGATAATTAAGAGGAAACAGTGAGGAGATATCTCTGCACAATATAGCAATCTACCAAAGCAAGTGAAACAGGGAAAGCAATGTCTCTGAGTAGGATTGCCTACCCTGTGTGTTGTTTTCTCCTTTGTTTCTTCAATGGGTCACTCATATATTAAAATTATATATTTGTATATGTACATGCATACACACATGGGTTAAATGAAAAAGGGACAGATCATGCCTAAGGCACATTAAGATTTTATAAGGTCATGCTCAAATTTTGAGAGTAGAGGCATTTGCTACATAGGGCTAAGATGGACATATCCCAACTTTCTCTCATCCAGCATCCTTTCCTTTGTTTTCACAGAGATGCCCTGTGACTGCTCCTGTCTGATCACATTCTCCACTCTCCTCACCCTGAAGCTAACATCTCTGCACTGGCTGGAGTAAGTCCAAAGGTTGTTAAACACTGGTCTGGCCACTGGGTTTTGCTGCAGGAGTGAAAGTGGATGAATGCTTTGTGCCCATCCATACCTTGCTATGAGCTCCTTCTTCTGACATCTCACCTTGGGGCTGAGCCTCCTCCCCTGGCTGTTGTGCCACAGATATAAATCACCTTCTGTAGCTGGGTAACTCTTTACTTTAAGGGTCTGTTCCTTTAAGCAAAAGCAGTAGGAGAGGTGGAGGGAGTGTGGCTGAAGATGTATTTACTTGAAACATCCAGAGCTCTGAATATATCACCAGCATGGGCCAGAATGGCCTGGGGAACATCTGCGCTTCAGCTTTGCTCAACAAAGACAAATATGTCTCACTCAGTGCTTTGTTCTTATATAAGTTTCCATATTGGTAGAAATAATTCAATGTATCTTGGTAATTCTGTTAAGGCAGGCTCACCAGTTTCCCCACTTCAGATTCAATAGTAATTGTGTTGATATTACCTGCAGGTATCTTTGTAGGATAATGCTGTTAATGTCACTACTCCAGAAGCTTTATCAATACATTAATTGGTGCAGGAAAGTTGACAGCCTGCCCTTACAAGTGCCTTGCTTTGAGCAACCTGAAACTGAAATGATTATTTGAAATAATTTTCATTTTTGAGGGTAGTGCTCTGCAGAGGGACAGCAAGAAGCAGCATCCTTAAATGGCAGCCAGGTTTTCTGAGTGGGTAACTAATGCAATCAGTATTTTTGTTTGTTCCTGTAGTGAACACATACCCAAGGGCTTTGGTGAGGATTAGGGTCTCTGTGCTCAGTACCATGTTACAAACAGATTGCAATCAAATGTGGATTCATATATAAGAAAATGTGTGAATAAACTACTCCCTTTCAGAAAAATTGAATTCCTTTCCCAACACATCAATAAGTGTCCTCAGACAGAGGTGGTTGAAAAGAAGAGACAGCTGCCATGTGCAGCAGAGCTTCCTGACGAGGATCCTACATCCTAAAAGACTCCAGCAAGGTGAGTCCCTGCAGTAACACAGAGCTTTGGGGGAAAAATGTGCTCCAAGATAGAAACTTACTGCTCTGGCTTCATTCCTCCAGCACTGCCTTTGCAGACAGGCAGAGCTGGTGGTTCCCTGTGGCAGCAGTGGCTGGCAGACTGCCTTGCTTGGACAAGGCATGTGACAAAGTGCCTTGTCCCCAGTCCCTGCCTGGCCAGTCTCTATTGCACTGTCACAGACAATGATTACTCTCCTTCCCAGGCTTGTCCTGTCCCTTTCTCACCTCATCTCTTGTTCCCACTCACAAAGTTTTCAGGTAGATGGCTCAGAGACAACTTAGAAATGCAATCTTCCCCCAACCTGGTGTCTCCCAGCTTTTCCTGTAGTGAACACATACCTCTAAATACTCTAAATATATGTATATTTTTCTTTTGGTTTTGCAGAATTGAATTTTACCTGTAGTAAGGATCAGCCTTGAGCTGACTTTGCACTCTTAAGCTCTGCTGAGAGCTGATCCTGAATTGCAGATTTTGCCTGGATTTTGCAGAGTTCTCTGAGGTCTAGACCTCCTGACACTGCACAAAAAGCCCTGAAGAGGTATCACAAAGGGGTAATGAGCACTACTGCATGGAAAGGTGGCAGAGGCCCCATCCCTGGAAATAGGAATGCTGACAGGGCTCTGAGCAAACCTGATTTAGTGGAAGATATCCTTTCTCATTCCAAGGGGATTGGATTAGATGAACTTTAAAAGTTCCTTCTAATCCAAACTATTCTATGATTTTATGAATCTACGAAAGAGGCCTGAATCCAGCTATCCAGCTGCTCTAGCTTGCATGTATGGTTGAAATTTTAGAGGCGTGGGCAGAAGGAAAAAGAGATGGATGCAGCTACCTAAATGTTTGTAGAAAATTTTTTTCTTTTTTTTTTTTAGATTGCAGCCAATACAAAGGCATAAGCAATGATAAAGACTTCCAGAGGTTTCTCCTGCCTTTCATACTGGTGATGTGTGAGGAAGGAAGAGGAGACTCACTGGAAATGTTAGTTGTCTTCGTGCCTTTGAAATCTGCTCCATCACCCCTTTCCATAATGGCAGGATTCTAGTACTGGATGGTGCCATTTGTTTTGTTATGAACTCTGTGGCAGCAGTTAGAGCACTGATTTAAGAGGGGGATTATCTAGGTCTCAGCTTTCTCCTGATGCAGGAAAAAATGTCCTAAATGTCCTCCCATTTCCCAGATCTCCAGCCCTGATTTACTGTATCCTGGGTGAGAGCAATCACCAGCTCTTCTTTCCAAGCCACACCATGGTCTGTCATCAGGCATGCACTGGTTTTGCCATGGCTTTCTCCTAGCTTTTATCCAGTCACTCTGAACTCCACCAGCAGATCTGCCCCAGCATGGTGCAGCCACAACAGCTACAGGGAAATGGCTGCACCACCCTGGTGCAGGTATGAGAAGTCTTTGCTCATATGGAAGCTGAGAGAGGGTGCAGGTGCCTGTTGGTCTGTGCTGGGGTTGCTTTAGGATCAGTAATCTCAGCCATGCTGCCTGCACCAGCCACTGCAGCAAAGACGGTGGGCAAACTGAGGCTAAACCTGTGTGGATTTAGCTGTCATCATCCAAATATGAAACTGTTGAAAAGGAGCAGTTTTGACAAACTGGACCAGTGTCTGATATTTGTAGACCAGCATGTGTCTGTGTTCATATTTATTCACACCATTCTTGAATGCTCCAGTTCCTAGATTGGTGTGAGGATAGCTCCTTGGAAATTAATAACTGTTAGAGCTTTGTGGCTCAGTGAGTTGTTTACTTCCTTACATCATTAATACTATCCTTGTAGGGAGGAGGAGTGTTCAAAATAATAAACACTCTTTCCTTCATTAACATGCTGAAGGCTGTGGAAGCAAAAGCAAGACATAACTGCTAGTTACTGTGGGGCCTCAAAACACACAGCTCCCAGCTGGTGCTTCAGTCCACACTCAGGTCTTTTCTCCTTGCTGTCATAAAAAAGTGATATAATCACATAAGCCCAAGTTTGCATCTTTTCTGGCGTATTGACTGTTCCGCTGTCTGCCTGTCTATCTGTATATGTATTGTATACACATCACTTAGAAAATATGCTGGATTTTACATATTGGGTGTGGGTATCACTCCTTGCAGGAATTCACCCTGAGCACTGGTCCTTGGTGGGGTGCTGCCTCAGTAGGTGGCACTATTTCCTCTGGATTTAGGACCAAATCTGAGTCCAGCACCATGTGTGGGAGCCTTGAGGCCCAGTTTGAGTCAGTTATCAGGGCTGGTTGCTTCTGTGCAGGACATGAAGCAGCACTTCTGGCCATGGGTGAGAGGGGTCTTGACTTTGACATCGTAGTCAAAATTAACTTCTGTAGTTTCATTCTGATTCCATGTATGTCTTTTGAAAATTCAGCTGGGTATTGCATTGGGTTTTTACTTTACAGTCTAAAACCTGCTATCTGGTATTGAATATGTTGTAGTAACTCTCTTAAACTAGTTATTACTAGCTACCCCAGAAATGGCTGCATTCCTACAGTAGAAATGTGTCCCTATACATTCCTCCCCTCATAATGTTGAATCTTGATTAATTGCTGCTTATAAAGTGCTTTCAGATCCCCAGAGGAAAAAAAAAAAATTGTATGGAAGTGCAAAGTATTGTTAATTGTTATTTTAGCACTTTAAAAGCATGAACCTGGCCCTGAAAACTAGCCACAAAATAATACACTAATTCCAAATTCTGCATGAGAAAACTCAAGGCCACAAGGGAATTTGAAAGGTTCCTAATTAGGCAAAACTCACAAGGCAGACAAAAACTGGAAGACAAAGGTTAAACAAAAGAGGCAAGAATATATTTCACAGGAATCCAAAACACAAGCAGAGAAATGCAGTGAGGGACAGACACTCTGTGTGGACCCGAGGCCAGGTGCAGATGCCCAGGGGAGATGCCTGCACATTAGCATACATCACTCTGCTAAACGTGCTGGGCAAACCCAGGCCTGAGGGAGCTCAGCAACTTGCTGGAGTGACACCAGGGATTTGCTTGGCCCCTTTTGTTTTGCTGATATCACAAGAGTGGAGACAGAGAATTAGGCTGGCACTGATAACTGCCTGCCATGCACTCAGGGGAGAGGGTGATCATTTGTGTGCTGTTGGCTCTGCCCCTTAGGGTCTCTGGATTTTGTGGTTTTTTCCACCCATATTATTATCCTTGCTATTTTTAGAAAATTCTGTAGAGAAGGAACAAGTTGTTATAAATACTAACTTAAAAAAGTGAGTAAAAGCTTTGGGGCTGGATTTACAAGGACAGATCAGGATACTACCAGCCATTTTATGCTCTAAGTCTAAATGTTAATTTTTTAACGCTCTCCCCTTCCCTTTAATTAAATTTATTTAAACAGGAAATGTTTAACTCCCTAAATACAAAAGTTTCCACTGGACAGTTTTCCCAGGTGCTATGGCACTAAGCTTGCACAGATAGATCTTCACCTGCAATTTGATGACTCTGAGGTGCTTGACATCTGTTTCACTGACAAATTTTCTCTCTTTCCCAGAGTACCCAAGCCTGAAGCCATCCTTTTCCTTTCCTCCATATCCCTGCATCTTCTCACAAAACACAGCCAAACACTGCTCCCTGCTACACGTGCAAACCCCAGCTCTTCTGAGTATCCCTGTGACAAAATCCCTTTGTGTGTTTTGGGACAGGAACTCACAGCCAGATCTCCCCTCTTTATGGAAACTTTTTGCCAGTGGGGTGCTGACAGAGACAGGATGTGGCTGTCCCAGTCAATCCCATAAATTATTCCCAATGTAATAGAAGCCTTTTCCTTTGCATTTGCAACTCGGTATGTAGAGACTAAGGCAGCCAGCCTTGCCTCTCCTCCAGTGCAGGTAAGGATCCAACCCTCAAGGCTGCAGAATCAACTCTTTACAGCTTCTTGTTCCTGTGCCTTAATGAATATGTATGTTTTTATTGCAGCATGGAATAGCTCAGGTCCCATGAGCACAGCAAGCAGGGAAATGTTTGATTTGTGAGCCTGAGATAGGGAGCAGCAGTAGTTGAAATTCAGGTGCCACAGGGATTTCTGTGCAGGAGGAGAGCCATGGTATCTATATAATTTAGGTGCCAAGGAGGTCTGGAAGATGGCTGGTTTGGAAGTTAGCACATAGGCCAGCAGTTAGACACCTCCAGCACCCCAGTGAATCAAGCCCCAGAGGCTTCAGCACAGTATGCCATCCATATTCACATATTTTCATTATTCAAAAAGGTTTTTACATTGCCTGGAAATTAAGCACAAAGGGCCTAATTCTGGATGTTGCATGGATATAACCCTTGGCAACTATCACTGAAGCTGATCAGTGAAACAGTGTTTCACTTTTGCCTCTTTGAGAATGGGATTTGTTCCTCACCTAACCAGATAATTGTCATCAGACCCATCCATACACCTGCATAAGAAAGTGTCTCTTGTTTTACCATTGCCACTGCATTTCCTCTTTAGACATCTCCCTGCAAGGCTCCACAGTTTACACAAAAGATAAAAAGCTACTCTTTCCTTGCTAGTCTCTTACTGATGTTACCTGTGCTCAGGATGCAAAAGTCAATGTTCATATCCCATCCCTGGAAGTTGTTCAGTCCATGTTGGATGAAGCTCTGGGCAACCAGGTCTAGTGAAAGGTGTCCCAGCCTAGAGCAGGATTTGGAACTAGATGGTCTTTAAGGTCCTTCCCAACCAGACTATCCTTTGATTCTGTGATGAGTCTATGATTTTCTTGACATAAAATATGGCATATAAGTGTAGCACCCTTAAGCAAATGCCACAAATACTTTATGGAGAGGTATAGCATCTCTCTCTTGGGCTGATCTTTGCTTAGTACATGCACATTTTTTAATGCTAAATATTCCCAAGAAAAGGTTAAGACCAGAGTTGGTTTTCATTT